ATGAATTCAAATGTTGCTATGTGGTTATGTATAAATGAAGGTCATCTCATTTCATGAAATGGGCGTTTTGTTTAATTCAATTTGAAGAAGCCATCAGGCTTTACTAGCTTTCCTTAAGCTTTCCCTTTTTGTATATATTTTCTCTCTCACTCTCTCCATTATACTTCTTATGCACTTTATCATACCATTAACACTTTTTAACACTCCTTTTATTCTTTCAAAAACGTTTAATTAGAAGATCTTTTGATACAAATATATACTTGTTATAATTTGATTATATTGATATGATATTAGCCTTTTTATGTATTCAGTTACTGTGATTTGAATATTTGTATGTTATGATTAAAAAATAAAAGAGAAAAAATGCCACACTAGTTTATTAGTAGCAAAATATGCATTTTCGTGTTCTAACAGTTGCATTTTAAATTTTTTATCAAATGATGATATGAAATATTATGGTTCAATTTCTTTGAAATGCTATAGTTTCACAACGAAGAAACTCAATAATGTGACTCAAATTGATTTTGATATATTTGTTAAGTAATAGAAAGAGCACCGAAACACGAGGCTATCTGATTTGTACGAGGGGGCGTAGCCGCCGAGTATTAATCAGATTGCCGAGTGTTTTGGTGTTCTTTCTCTTTTGTATCATAGTCATAACATAAAAGCACGTTCCCTGTTGTCACAATATGAAACCCCGGCAAAAATGAACCAATGAAAAACATCTGAATATGAAATTTCTGTCGCTTTCCCTTTCTCTGCCGTCACAATATGTAAACCACAGCAAAAATGAGCCAATCAATGGGCATATGCTCTGGAGTGCGGGTAACTAATACCCGCACTCCAGTTAACGCACTGTGCATGTATATGTAAACGATTTAACCCTGACACATTTTCAACAGAAAGGTCTCCAAACTATGATACAATAACAATATAATTTTAAACAGCTTATTTAGAAAAGATTTTATACTTTGTTTTAGACCTTCTGTAAGTTCTTTTCCCCTTTCTTTTATGATGTGTAGAGTAACATGCATTATATTATATGTACTCGTTTTGTGATTGTTTATATAACGTATCTAAATATATCTTATAACTCTTTTAATATTATTTATTAGATATTATCAATCACAAACACTTGCATTGATATTATATTCATATGTCATAATGAAAATAAATAATAAAGTTGTTCAACCTTGAAATGACTCTTTTGATATTAAAGCAATATCCGTGAAATTACATATGTAAACATTATGTAAAGTGCAAGTAAATGAATATACCCGATTTTACCTTTGATTATGTACTTTTAAGCAGTTTCACTGAACAGTTTTCAATGATAGACCTTTTAAGGTTTTATAATTGAACTTAGCTTTTTTTGTTCTTCTTTAAAAAAAGAAGATCTTTTGAATTTTCCATATTTTTTTTACACCATGAATATTGCAAATAGATAATTAAGGTAAAACAAAACAATTTAAAGATACATGGTTTGGATAATTGTCTGAAATAAAATATACAAATAAATGGTGATGATAAACTTTTTTTTAGAGATTTTAGAGACTTTTATTAGTCTTAGCCGCTGATATATTTGAATAAAACAGCTATGTCTAGTGGGTTTTTACTGCAAATTTATTTATATACGCACAAGCACTATGTGCAAAGCAATTCAAAATTTCATTCAAGAAATTTGAGAAGAATTCTCAAGAGACACTTTCACGTGATAAATCTAAAATGTTTGCATGTTTGCATGACTCAGATTGAAAAGAAAACCTGTCGATTTTTCTGGATTAGATGTTATGGCTTATTAAAATCTTTTCATTTTTAGACCCATTAAGATTTCTTTATGCCAGCGTAATATTAGGTGCATAATGAGCAAACATCATATGTTTCATCAAGAAATATCACGCTTTCCCCGTTACCACATTTCGCGGAATATGAATTTAAAGATTGTCCTAGATGATGTTAGAAGGGCATATAGTTCGATAGGCATCAGCATTTTATGGATGTTTTGATAGCTTTTTTACATCTTTTTTTTTTACCGACTCACTTGTGTACTTGTAGAGGAAATAAAGCAAAAGATGGACAAAAAGTAACTACTGCAAACAAAAATGGTTGTTTGGTACAAAAATATAAAAGATCAAAGAATTTTTGCGGTAAACCAAGATAATAAGCCGAAGTTTTTTGCACTGGGACATATGATTATGATATAACTTTAATATTGTCAGTGTAAATGGAATCAATTGTAGGTTTTTGTAAATGATATGAAACCTGACTGGTTTAAGGCTTGTGCCCATTGACACATCCTGTTATAAAACAGAGTGTTTATGAGAAAGTTGGTCTGAAGATAACATCTAACACTTGAAACCACCGGCGTTCATAGACAATAAAGACGTATTAAAATGTTTTGTTCCATAATTCCTCAATTTATCTCATTGACTTTTCATGGGTTTTCTAAAAATGTCTGTTTTTTTTGTATCCAGATTTGTCAAACAAGAGCTTTTGCTGAGCGGACCGTTTTCTTTTGTTTGGTTGCAGATGTTTTCCGGAAACGTTTTAGCTAATAGAGAAACAAGTTAGTTTCCGAATCTATAAAATATCATCCGGATCTTTATAGAAAAAGTTCATTAATTAGAATGAATAATTTTTACCCTTTTTTTTCTTTACCGATTATACTTTCGATATTAAATGTATGCCTAACTCGTTCTCTGAAAGATTAATACGAAAACGTTTTTTACATTGTCCTATAATATCAAAGCTTCATTTTAATCAAACTAATAGGTTAATGTGTCTAGAAAAACTTAAGAATATGATGGTAAAAACACGTAATGATAAAAACCGCTATGTGTCCGCATTTCTTTTGTCTACACTCTCGGTGAACAAATGATTTTATAAGAAATTACATCTATTTATTTTATGCTTTTCAGTGGATTACTGATTTATCCGTGAAAATTAATTATATTTGATAATTTCACAGTGAAAATTATCAACATATAATTTCACTTTTTTCAATGACGAAACTACTTTTTTAAGATTTTCCCCATGTGGTACCTCAATTTTATTTTTACTGACCACTCTGACAATGTCAGGCTGTTAAAAGAAATAGCAAAGCTAAGATAGATAAATAACTTAAATGTTAAAAGTAATAAAGAGAGAAAACTTACTTCTATTCATTCAAATTCCAATCACCAAATTTCGTCTCTAAATTTTTTTGTTTCGTTTTTACAGTCTGAAAAATACATTCCTTCCACATGCAAAACTGCTCTTGATGACATTTGGGCATATTAAAGTATCCTACGAGCAATAACTGCCGTATGCTTTATGAAAAATTGAAAAGCATTGACAGCCATCACTCGTAGAATAAGTAAAACAACCCAGCGTTCCTTAGCAAGCTTCCAAGTTTTCCATTTTCCTAGCTCCTTTTCTGAATGTTTTCACTTCTGTCAACACTTATTTTTTGTCTGTTACAATCCTCAAATAAGTTTTCTTTCTTTTAAAAAGGTGTATGACTAACAAATCCAAATTATATCCCTCTGAATCTTACACAATTATTTTCCTCCCATGAAATACACAACTTTAAAAAATGGCTGCCGCTTACATTTTACAAAGCCAGGTCTAATATAAATTCGCAGTAAGTAACAGAAATATGGATGGATGGTTGGACTTTTTCTCCTACAAGAATTGTTTGTTTTTATTATTAAAACAAGCGATCATTCATATTTTTTTAATAAAATGAATAAATATCACCGTCATTTAACCTTGATTGGCGGACTTATTGTTCAGCTCAAGACTTCTTGTTTTTAATGTGAAATTCCGTCTAAATTGGGCTCTTAATGGGGGAAACAAATTTTAATATTAACGTTAAAATTATGGAAATTTCGTTTTAACTTGTTTTTAAGCATAAAATAAAAAGAAAATTTGTTTGTTTGTTGTGTAAGATGTAATTTTATTTCATCTCGTGAACTTTAAAAACAGTATTCTCACTCGTGGCTACGCCACTCGTGAGAATACTGTTTATAAAGCCCACTCGATGAAATAAAATTTCATCTTACACACAAACAAACAAATATCCTCTATGTATTTACATAAATCTCTATGTCACAGTAGCATCGGAATCTTTAATGTTGGTATGTTGCAAGTTCGATTTGACTGAACCTAATTATTGATAAGTATTTTTACTGTAAATACATACTCCTTGTTGACATAGTTACATCTTTAACATATTCTGGTTTGGAATATCCCTAACGACAGCAGATACTAAGTCTGAACTAATTCACTAATTTCAGTAATGGAACTGTAGTGAAAAACGTTCAGTTGCTTACTATAATATTTTAAGAATCTAAAGTTAAGTTTCATTAAGTTACTGAAAGGAATGATAACACGTGGATGCTAAGAGAGTGACTTGTTTGCAATACATCAGTTCCATTCTCGACCACAGCCTCTATCCAAAATATTGTTTCCTATTATAATTAGCATTGTCAAAAGATGCTTGTAAATAACATTCCAAAATAGTATCATATTTCAAATGTGCATTGATAGAATAATAAGACACTTTGATTTTAATATGTTTAATTGATATATAATGTAATAAATGTGACACAACTTAGCAATATTTTCAAAGTTCATTTATGCTAGCTTACCAATGGCGTTAACTTTATTTTCTTGATAACATTTCTTTGTTATTTTGGGAAGTTATTCATTCTAATGCTGAAATTCAACTGAGATCTGAAAAAATCAGAGTGAAATATTACCCTGATTGCAAAAGAACTAAAGTATAAAATATAAACATAAACTATTATATTTAAAATCCATCCAATTATTTTTCCGCTCAAATTTCGGCTTAGAAGATGAAATAATGGTATTTTTTTGCTCTAGGTGTCACTTTTTAACTCGTCAGTCCATCTTCTGAAGAATGCAACAGCACTAACATTTAATCATCAGCACCACAGAAGGCCATTTCTTGCTGCAATAACTCACTTCTTATAAAATATAAAAACTTTGATGAACAAAATATTAATAACATAAAAACAACATCAGTATGAAAAGTAATTATACCATGTAACAGATGTGTTAGAATGACAGGGAGTCAAAAGAATATACACAGCAGTTTTCGATCTTTATTATCTGACAAAAATTTTGATTATGATAATTAAGAATAAAAGAATAATCTCTCGCGAGCTTAACTGTTCCTTATCGGCGTGAATATGTTCGAGTATGCTATACATATAAGACACATTTCTTACAGACAGGAAAAGCTAATATCATTTGAATTATTATTACTCATACAAAAACATGCTGGCATAACATAGCGATCCAACGTGACACATCCATTAAAATAGAATAAAATATGTACGAAATAATTTCAACAACAATAAATAAATGGAAAAAAATAAGTCTATAATTTATTAAATAAAGCACATTTAATCAAAACTTTTTCTCCCATTAAAATGAATGAGTATAAGAAATGATTGCCTCTAGTTTTCATTAATTTGTCTATTTTCGTGGTGTTATACGTCTAAAAAGTCCTCTTCGTTCAAAACGTGGATCCTTTTCGGTAATTTATATCGCAGAAGTCTGAAAGACAAAATAATACACTCATTTAGATAGGGAAATTATAAAAAACATATATAAAACCATTGCATCATGTTTGCTTAATTGCTAAATTTTATTTAGAACCTATATACATGTCTGTTTGAAATTAAATAGTTTTTTCCATTGTTTTGTTAACATCATTATTTCAATCAATATTATTTATTATTAACATATATTCTTAACAAGATTGAAGCATATTTTTTTGCAATCGAAAATAACTGATGCATATTCGATTTTTAATTGTTTTTGAAGATCTTGCGTTTTTGCACGAATTAAACAACACTTTTTCAGACAAGTCTATAACATGAACTATATTTTATTTTATAACCAGTTTTAAAATGATCCAATTGCAAAACAGGGCATGTTGAGTACAAAAACAAATACAAAAAAATCAGACTAACACAGTGCGTGTGTTTTTTATTTGTTACAACATAGATCATCTTAAAAGACCCTTTTACAAATATATATTTCTGTTCAAATGGTAAAATGACGAATGGGATTGATGCATAAAGGCTCATTCTTTATCTTGATATTCGATACGTTTAATTCTACTTTAAGATGAATGACCTTGATGATAGATAGCATCTGTTAATTAATAGGGTTTTTTTGCTTTTCAGATTTCTTTTATTTTGTTTAACTCATTATGGTTAGAGTAAGTGGTATTGCCATCCACCAATACACTTAATGTGTTCATGTTTGTCTCTTACATTTCAGTGGCATGTATATAAAATGCTGAATTAGATTTTTTATTAGAACACATCTGCGGATGTTTCTTAATTTAAAATTTCACCATAAGCATGTGTAAATGTTGGATTCTGTTTAAGTCGCTGCAAAGGGCGTGGATAGTAGCTTGCTTTTTTCAGTATTGTTCCTGAACAAACAGGTTAAATCAAACCAAACCAGCAACATTTTCAGTTTTGTCGTTTTTGGACTTTCTTTAAGCTCTATTCCATATTATGTACTATGCTCCCGACAATACATATTTTCATATGATATTCACGATGATTAAGCTTTGTTTCTTTCTTTGTTGGCTTTATTTCATGGTGCTATCATTATTTTAAATTTTATCATCATCAATATTCAGAAATTTTTAAAACTTAGTAACCTAGGCCATATAAATTCTTCAAAAACATTCAATGTGATATAGCTTCTTCGACCTGTCATATTTCCCCCTAAAAAACTAAGAAATAAATGAAGCTTAAACTAAATTCTTACATACTTAATCATAATAATTTATCGTCAACTGTTTTTAACATACTAGTTTATAGACTACTTTGCTTCAGAAATGGTTTACCTTTTTACCAGTAACGAAATATCATCATTTGTTTCTATTTGACTGTCTAAAGTATTTCTACTTAATTCTGACATCACATTGATGTTATCTCTATTATATTGTCGAGATTGGGCATCTGATCTCAGAAGCTGTTTAAAGGCCTCGTCATATTGATCAAATAACTGATTTTCTGCCTGATGTAACCGACCGGACTGCAGTGAGCTGTCGGTGTCTTCAAAACTCTTAGATCGCAACGACTCGAACGATTCTGGCAAATCATCATAATTGCGTTTACGTTTAAAGTATCCTGTTTCCACACTGCTTATGCACTCAAGATATTTTTTCCATTCTGATGTTAGATATTTTTTGTGGTCGGAAGGTAAATGTTTAACTTCATTTTCAAAGTCCAGTCCTAAAAAAATAAGAAACAGTCTTAGAAAGAAAAAAAAATCTTAAAAATAAGCCTTTAACTTGAATAGAAATATAAATCATAAAAGATGGCCGACATAAAAAAATCTTGAACCACTTATACAATTATCATATTTATCAACACTTAAACCATAGCATATTTATCACGAAAATTTTTTTATTAGGGTTGAGAGATTTGGGACTTTTCATCTTCTGTAATGAACTGGCGAACAAATTTATTTCACATGAAATTTACAACACATTACAATCTAACTTATAAGTGTTAGAACATACAAATGTGCAGGCATCAACGTGCATATTATACAGATTATCTCTAATGAACAAACCAACCCGAGTTTACAATTTTCTCCTTAAAGTGTGTAATTATGTTTTCACTAATCTGAAAGGATCTCCCACTTTCAATATATCATATTCTTATTGACCATTTTAAATCAGAAGGAAAGACCTATTGTGCATATAGCATTACAAATGCCAAAAGTTTCTATGTTTATACTGCGTAAATATGATCAAAAGAAAATAACTGTTATTTTACTCAATATAAATTTAAGTATAATTATTTAAAATTCTTTTCAAATGCCATTCATATTTCCATATCTTTTTTATGTTTTAGGCCTATAATTGGCCTTCCGTGGAAAAATGGTAGCTTTTCAAGACGTGCTGTTAGCTATGTATGTGTTCAATGACTCGTCCGTCTGCTTGGCTTTATAGGGAGAGCAATAATAACTTGCCATCAAGGGATCGCTAGTGCGATCCCCTGGTGAGGCGAAATTTCTCCTTGATAATGGATCACAGACAATGAGTCTAATGGTCTTTTGACTCTCACCTCTAATTGTGAAATCATGTGGGATTAGTAGTTGGTCACTTGTGGAGAAATCGATAATTACTGCTTTGTTATCTAGAAAAGTCGGTTCGGTGCACTGATCGCCGAGATGGGACCAAGGTATATGTTAAATCGGCGTAAAAACAGACAAGCAGACAGACAAACAAACAGACAGACTGGGTTTATGACTCAATAGCACCGAAAGGAAACTCACAAGAACAATTCATTATTGACCATTTTGATAATTGGCATTAGAAGACCATTGGTTACTAGAGTATATTGTTTATAATTTTTGTTTTTTTAAATTTTTATTTTTATAAATAATGCATGAAAATTAATTATAATACAAATCTGTGCCAACAAATACCTTTACTATGAAACCATCTCATGAATTAAAAAATGTTTTTACCATGTAATTCAAATTTCTGTTTTGCCACCATCATTGGGTTATTACCACATTGGTGTGCAGTACATATTTGACACATGTATGCACAAAGGAAAAGTTTGATGGCATATCGAGGCTGCATTAGAGTTTGGTAATGAGTACCTGCAAAAATAAAAATAATATTAGGTTTTATTGGTATACTTATTTAATCAATCTCAGTATCAATTTCCAAATCCTGATGTTTCATACTTTTGAAACATAAGTCTCAGCCATTTAGTATTAAATATTTTTCAGAATGGTGTGCATCTAACTTGCACGTATTTTGTACTTATTATTATATATTATTAACATTGAGGTAACAGGCAATTATAAAAATTAGACTCTCGGTTTAAGCCATTTTGTATGAATTTTCAGGACATTTCCCTTTGAAAAAAAATATGATTTAAACATCATACTCAAATATTTGATTGGCCTTTAATCATTTGCAATCAAATGTTATATTTTATATATCTATTGCTATCGATGTACTCTTACTTACCGACAGTCTTATTTTTATAATTGCCTGTTAGCTTAATGTAAATTATAGAAACACGTGCAAGGTAGTGGCATATCATTCTGTAGAAATATTGTGTTCTTTTATTTTGAACAAAACATACAATTTGAGATTTCGAATATAAAAAGATCAATCAAATTAAGTCAAAGTAAAATTTTATATGTTAAAATTGTTTAAATATATTTATTTACTCTGAACTGGCAAAACATAAAGTGAATATGCATTTTTGTCACAATAACACTTTTTTGTATATAAAAGCCCCATTATGTCCCAGAAATGCTTTTAATTTTATTTCTCAAATGCATTTATCTTTGGTGTACTTTTAAAAATTTCCAAAATGACACTCTTTGGCCAGTAAACTGAATCATCTTTTTCTTTAGTTGCCTTTTTGGCAATTAGTGCTTTAATATTTTGTATGGAAGTCAAAATTCTACTCTTATTACATTTTGCTACCTAAATGACAAAATATTTCACATTTAGCACTACTTTCTTGAGATAACGTTCATCTAATATGTTCTTAAACCATTATTTAAACATTTTTTTCTTAAAAAAAAAAAATATTCATTTATGAGGCATAATGTTTCTTCAATATATCATATGCAATCAACCCATTTAAGTTAATACTCTTACCTTTGATAAGTCTTAATGTTGAACGTACAAATTTAGCTTGATCCGACTTCCCTTGCATCTGCCCTTTCTCCCCTGCTGCTGAAATTCAATAATAGTTGAATTATACTTAATTTCAATCGTTAAATCTAAAATCACAAGGGATATCTAAGGTATGTCGACATTTGCATTTTCTTGCGATTGAATCAACCAATCAATCAATTTCAGCATTTAATAGCGTTACCTTGGTTCACAATATTACGTAATTATTTCAATCAATTAACCATCTTTGAACCGAAAATACCGAAATTTATTTGAATAAGTACACAAATATATACTTCAAACAACTAACGTGTATATACTAGTAGGATGCTTAAGTGAGTGAAAGATATTAAAATAAATAGTTTATATTAAAAATGGAAATTATTTTTTAAATGCATTTTGCTTTTATACAACATTATAAATACAGTTCAGTAAAACATGCTTAATTTTATTTAATCATCATGAAGTTCGGAAAGCTATATTGTGTCTTCCTTTATTTATTCTTTTTGAGTGAGAATAAAGTACAGTTTTTTTCTTATTTCAAATTAAAAATCGAATTTATGGAAAAACTAATTTATCGGCAAAGATCTGATTACATTTATAGAAAAATGTTTGAATTTCTATGAAAAGTACAAGAGAAAACTTATTACAATGTTTGTATATTATTACAAAAAAAAAATCAAAAAAAATCAGTAATTGCCTCTTGCCTTCTTAAATTCATCTGCTTAAAACAATTAAAAAAACTCCATAGTTTTGACTTTGAAAAAAAAGAAAAAAAAACGGAGGTTTTTTTACCTTAAATTTTTGTCCTTATAAAAAACGATATTTTTGCTTATAAATAAATTATTAGCATGGGGCTTAGAACAAAGCGAAAACTACTAAATTTCCCATGGGGCCAGGAGGGAACACTTTATTTTTTGGTCCCCCATGCTTTTAAGCTTATCATTATTATTTTCACAAGTTTGAAATTGTTGTTCGCTTTTAAGAAAATTTACTACTACATGTATTTTTATTTTCATAACAAGCATTTTGCAATAATTTCTTTTTAAAAATCAAAACATTTGGTTTTTGCGGCAAATATATAGCTTTATACACTTTAACTTGAAATTGTATCATAGTTTGGGGACCTTTCTGTTGAAAGTGAGTCAGGGTTAAATCGTATGCATATACATGCACAGTGCGTTAACTGGAGATATCATATTCAGATGCTCGTTAATTGGTTACTTTTTCTTAAGTTTCATATTGTGACAACAGGGAACGTGTTTTTAATTTTTGCCTATGATACAAGAGAGGAAGAACATAAAAAATCGGCATTCTGATTTATATTCGGGCGCTACGCCCTCTCATACAAATCAGATAGCCTCGTGTTTCGATGCTCTTTTCATTACTAAACACGTTTGTACATTCGTGGGCTTTATCTTCAACCAATGGGTAGAAAATATGTCAGATAGTATCATTTCATTGATAATGAAATTGATTTATGCTACTATTGTTATGTTAAAGTTACTATAATATACTAACAGATATACATACATGTTGTTTATGAATATTTACTTACATGTGTAACATTAAGTATAGGTTAGTTTTTATAAGTATTTACAAAACTAAATTGAATATAGACGCCACAGCCGCAGCTCACTAATAAACACTTCCCACTTTAGTGTTTTAAATTATTTTTATAAACAGTTGATTTACTACACTGATTAGATTTACCAAAGTAAATGTGTTATGATTAATTTGAAACACTGCAATTCTATTTGACCAAAAAAAAAAAAATTCAAACACTAGAATTTGAGAAATTGGCATGCCTAATTGATTACGTTATATAATTTCTAAAAAGTTATTATACATTCTTTTCATTTTCAATAAATAGTTTTGGTAACAAAAATATATTTAAGAAAGAATTGTTTGAACCAAAAAAAGAAATAATAGCGGGATATAGTATGGTTATTTCTTATCAATTTGTTTCTTCTATAATGTTTATTTTCTTAAGCATAAATCTCTGGAGGGCTTAAATTACTTCTATATTTATTTAGTCTGAACCTGTAACTGTCACCAGTAAAAGATAATGGTAGATTCGCCAAAAAAAGAATTGTCACAAATTAATACTCGTATTATATGGAAAGATCAATTCTCGAAGGGGTCGTTAGTGTTTGTAATGGTTCGTACTTTTCTCACATTTAGTTTTAAGATTGCTATCCTGAAGGTGTGAATTGTTTTCTAAATGACGGTTTGCAAGAGCATTAGGAATAGAGTTGGTGTTTAAAAACGTGTTAAGTATTTTAAACAGAAGAAAACAAAATTCCCTAATGAAATTGAAAATTCAAGCACATCAAATTCTAGCTAGTACAAAGCTTCCACTCGATTAAGAGCACAGTTTAAAAGGTTAGATCTTTCCCGATACGTTTGTTCCCATAAGTTTGAATACACACGTTGTTTCATATCTGGAGTTATCTGTATTTATGCACCCGTTGCTGGTATGAGCTGTAACACTGCCAAAAAAAGTTTTTGGGAAAGGAAATACAAAAGATGAAAGTTTTCCCTTTGATTTAAATTTAAACGTGTGCTAATTATTTTGTAGTTAAAGCCTTAAAAATTTTAAACTGGGAATAACTCGAAGAATGGATTCCCAAAAAGTCGTTTTTTTTTAATTTTTACCCCCAATTTTGGGCAAAATTTTTTATTATGTATCGAAAACAAGTCTAACCCAACAGGTTCCCGAAAAAATACCCAAATAATAAAGGGTTTTTTTTCCCAAAAAACCCCACTACAATCCCAAAAAATTTCTTTACTCAATGGTGGACAAATGGGTTTGATTTGAGATGTTCCGGGGCCAGCAAAACCCCGGATTTGGCAACCTATGTAGAAAATAAAATGTGGGAAAGGAATAGAACACCGTACTTCTTATCCAAATGTAGTAAAATTCGATTCCCCTAAAGGGGAGGGTTTCCCTTTTGTTTTCCCGAAAAGTCTTTGGGAAATTTAAAACCCAAAAAAGATTTTTTACATTAATGGGAAAAGCAAACAAGACTAGCGAGAAAACAATCATGTTTTAATTGTATATAACTAACATTCAAACCTTTGAGTCCCTCTTATCATTTATTGTATTCTTAATACAAAAATACATGTGCTTACAATTCTTAGATATCATTTTGTTTGAATTTAATATTTCATTTTCTGAAAGTTGTAATAGTACGATTATTATGCAATTTTAATGTAACTTCCTTTGTATCCATTTGTATAATTATTTACTTGATTTGTGTTATATTTCATATCACTTTGTCTATCAGTATTAAAGATAAAATATTTGCAAATTATTATTCAATTTTGCTGGGCAATTGAGTTCCTTGCGCCCTGTGTAGACGATACAGAAAGGAAAATCCTGGCGTTGTCAGGTATCAAATATTTTAGTATTCAATGCATATAATTCTCGAAAAATGATGAATTTTTTGTCCAGATTGAAAAAGATACGAATTTATTTAAAATACATTAGCGTAGAAAGGGAACATAAAATTTTAGATTTTTTTCTTCATCTTTCCTGATTTCCTCTTGCAATAAATGTTTAGAACACTCCCGAAGCAAGCTTAATATTTAAAAGAATCTATCCAAATATGGACAACTATTGACAAATGTTATATTCAATGACCTTTTGTACCGTATTTGTTTATGTAAAATTTAATTGTTTTATTATGACAGCTATTTAAGCATATAAGTGTTGTTTGTTTACCCTCCATAAATGCAACTTAAACTTCTTCATAAAATTTGATGTTTTTTTTATAGAAATATGTATACGTGACAATGTTGTAAAATTCAGAACAAAGCAAAAACTTTATTCAGGAGTTGTACAATAAGTACAACCAACCATCACACATACCCCCGCCCCCCCCCAAAAAAAAAAAACAAAAAAAAAAAAAAAAAAAAAAAAAAAAAAAAAAAAAAAAAAACACAAATACACACAAACAAAACACAAAAACAACAACAATATATGTATAATGTCACAAATAGCACAATATCTCTAATTTAGCACAATCTTGTATCTCATGTACTGTAAGTGTTATAATAATGATGTGTTATAAGTACAAATTGGAAATGAACTCCTCGTTGTCTTCTGTTATCACAAGTACCGTTTGATCGATCTAAAATGTTAAATTTTATGAACTCATTAAAATACATTCTTCTGACATGAACAGAGCAGTTTTTCCAATATTTTACGAATGTCCGTCTAGATTTAACAATGTTAATTTAATTTGATTCATTTTTTTCGCGAAAGATTTTTAAAGAACAGCGTCGACCTCTTATCATGTAATTAATGCTTTCAGAATATGGTTTATTCCATGTGTGGGTGCTGGGGTTGGTAAATTGGCATACAAATTTTTAATTATAGTACTTTACTTTTGAATGTATTACAATGTAAAAATAACATGAACACACCTAATTTAATTGAAATTAACGTTAATTGGCACCATGATTATATGGCCAACTTTGCTTAAAATATTCAGGTTTTAAGTTGTTCAAAATTTTGATATTGTCCGCGTTTCATTAAAATGTCTTTAATAAAATATATCTCTTTGAAAGAAATAAAATAACTCTTATCAATTAGCTTAAATATAGGAAAGAAACAAATGTATTAACTAATAATTAACATGCTAAAACTTTTTTGAGGCATTTTAGTTAGATAATTGTAAGGCATTTAAGTTATTATTAATATTTTTGAGCTAATTAAGTAAAATATTTTTGAGCCATTCAGTATCATATACATACATTTTCATCTTTGCTATTCAAAGACATAACTAAAGACATACCTATTAATAAATACTTGTACATGAAAATTGTATTATCCGCAATATAAGTATTATGTAACTTACATTATCATATGCGGTGCATTTCTATCGGAAGAATTTTTTAAAATATTACATGTTTATTATTTACATACGCATTCATGAATTTACTTCGTGCATTTTCAATAACGACTTCAATCATTGTCATAGCATATTGTGTTTATATAATAATGTATGTTTTTAAAATATGTTAGTTTACATAGAAATAATATTATCAACATT